CAAGCCAAAACTTTTTCTCATCAGAGAAGACAACTTTCTTCCACCTTTCAATGTCCCATGTTTGGTGCACCCTTGCAAAGTCCAAACGGGCAATTCTGTGGCGTTGAACAAGACGTGGCCTTTGAAGACGTTTTTTGTTTCTGAAGCCCTTCCCTTGCAGATGCCGTCTGATGGTTATCGGGCTGCAGTCGGCACCAGTAATGGCTTTAATTTGGGTAGAGGATCGTCCCTTGTCTTGATGGACAGCCAATCGGATCCTGCGGTTCAGAGCTGGTGAAATTTTTTTGGGTCTACCGCTTGACTTTTTTGTTCCATAACCCTCAGGATCATTTAAAAAATGCAAAATGACTGTTACTGCGTCCAACCTCAGCAGCAATGGCACGTTGTGAGAGGCCTTGCTTATGCAGCTCAACAATCCTGCCACGTTCAAAGTCAGTGAACTTTTTTGCTTTTGCCATCTGGAGGTCTTGACAGTGTAAAGACTTCACAGAACATGACATGGAATCTAGATTTTTGCACAGCTTTTGGCTTTTAAAGACTATGGTCTTAAACTTTTGATCAGCTGAAAAAATCATGTTTGAGTGTAAATGCAGCTTTCAGAAAATTCCCTGCTCAAATGTTTTTGTCTCTTGCACTAATATTTTCTTTTAACATTGTGAAGCTCTACTTAGAATCTTCTTAAGATTCAATAGTGCAAAATGCAAATTCTTGCAATTTTTTGACTGGTCTTAAGATTTTGATCAGGAGTGTATTAAAGATGGAAGTTCGTGATGCTGGTCACATCTGGCCTCTGCTGAACATGTTGTGTGTTTTATCTGCAGTCAGGCTGAATGGAAACTTTTCCGCTCTTCCGTCTGTCATAGGAGAAAATAAAGGCTTTCATTTTTCAGCCATATTTTAACTATATATTCATTCATTTCTCTGGTCCGAACTATTATTTCCTTGTTTTTTTAAATGAAATATTTAGTTAGCTAGCTGCTATTTAAATTAGCAATCAAAATCTTCAGTTCAAAATATTTAATTAACAAATTACATATTTAACTAGCAAGATAACTATCTAGGTTGTTAACCAAATATTCCATTAATAACTTAGTTATAGTTACTAATTAATGAGCTAAATATTTAAGTCCATTTAAATACTTAACCAGTGAGCTAAATCTGCAACTCTGAACTAAATATATAATTAGCAAACAAAATGTACAGCTTGACGTCGACATTGACAAAAAAAATTTTCTCCTCTCCAAATAATCCAGATTTTAGCTGTAAACGATGTAAGAACCGTTTTCTGTAAGGCCTCGATGGTCCGTCGCCCAGTTTCTGACCTTAATGGTAAACACAGCTAAGCTAGCTACGTGTGCTAACCGTACAGCCACAGAGGGAAGCAGCGGCCTAGTTCAAGGCTGCCCACGATTCTTCACTGGTTAACTTTGGATTTCTTGGCGGTTTTGTGGGATGATGTGAATCATCGTCTGGTTGGTTCTGGGTGAAATGATTCTATAGATCTGGTGGTGGAGAGTTTCCAACCTCCTTCAGTCGCTGCAGCTTCGATGAGTTCAACATCTTCATCCTGATCCAACCTTCGCTTTATTCAGCAGCAGCTTCAATAAAACAACCCGCAGAATCTGAATTAACTGTTGGAAAAAAGACAAGCAGCTCTGACTGTGTACACACCCGTTGCCATGGAAACCCAGAGCAGCGACAACGTCACAGAGCGGTGACCTTTCACCTCTCCGTTCTTCCCCCTGCATGTGAAATCAGATGCATATGAATGAAGCACATTGTCTTTTTATTAACATTCGCCCGCGCACGGCGGCGAGCCCCGCCCCCTGCCTCATGAATATTAATGAGCGGGTAGCCGTGATGGAGAGGCGGCATCAGGATGACAGACGGCATTTCTGACCGGCGGCCGCTGCTCACTGGACCGCAGCTCCATAAAACAGCATTAATTCACACTTTATGCAACGCATGGCGGTAATACAGAAAATATTCAGTCTGATGCGGCAGGAAGACGTCTGGCTCCAAAGGCTGCCGCTTAACATAAAGCACCTTATAGTTTAGATGTTTTCGTTTCTCTGCTCAGGAAATAAATGTTGCAGATTGATCTTTGGTCTTTACAGAAAATAGCTGAGGTGAAACAGAACAATATTGAAGCAATCAGATATTTTCTTTTTTTCTGTGCTTCTCGCTGAAAACATTAATAAACTGCAACTGAAAGAGACCAATGAAATAGACAGTGAGGACCTGAAACTACATAGAAATTAGCATTAATTTAAATTAGTAACACAGATATTAAACACGACAAAATCTTTAATATAATTTATCACAAAGATTTTTGTTTTACAAACAAAAGTTCCGGGTGGAACCTTTGTCGTCGTGTTTCTGGTGCACCTGTAAATCTGATGCACAAACTACAACCGCTAACAGCAGCGATGAAGCTGCTTCAATCGGCCGCTGCGTTTTAATTTGGTTTCTAAACATCTGATTGGATGCTGGTCAAAACTGTTGTTGCGCTTAAACAAGTTAGCTTAGCAGTGCTAATGCTAGCATGTAGCAGCTAACTGCAAGTTCGAATGTTTGTTTTTCTCAACTTTTGACTTTTGGATGCTTTTTGAAATGTTTGAAATGAAAGCATTTCAAACATTTTGAAATGTTTTCGGCAGGCCATGCAGCAGGCGAGGTGTTGCGCGGCGCGGTGCGACAGACGTAGCCATGTCGTTAGCGTAATCGCTTTCTGGTTACTAACCGTTTTATGACGTGTGGTTTTCCTGCTGCCACACGTCATAAGACGCTCTGCTGAGGTGAATCATCAGTTCTGGATGTTTTACTGTCAGGATGAGACATCTGATATTCTTTCCCTCAGAGGACCGGCTGAATATCCTCAGAGTGGAGATGACTGAGGGGGAAACCTGCAGGCTCATTTCAACAATTCTTCATTTCTTTGTTTTTTTGTGTGTGTTTTAATCTAACAACCCAAACGTCAGAGTCTCAGAGGGATAAAAGTGTTTGGTTGAACGGTTCGGTTCAGTCTGCTCTCTGGTCTGGGCTCCTTTTGCATGAATTACTGAACCGCAGGTCGCGTATAAACATCAGGTTCTGTTGGTTCTGGTCAGATTGAGGTCAGCACGCTTCCACTGATACCAACGCTAACTCACCTTAGCTTTAGCATTTTTCTAAAGCGCTTAGCACAGCTGCTTCCCTTCATGAGCTTTTTATTCATGCCGGTTCTGTACTGAGATCCTGGCAGACCCAGACGGAGTAATCCCACCGGCCGGTCCGGCTTGGTTCTGCTCAGCTTGATTTTAGGTCAGTTTCATAATGAGTGACGTAACGTTGATGAGGTTGATTAGAGAGAGGCTGAAACTCAACGGTGCTGGGTCACAGCAGGTCCAGAAGCTCACAGCAGGTCCAGAAGGTCACAGCAGGTCCAGAAGGTCACAGCAGGTCACAGAAGGTCACAGCAGGTCACAGAAGGTCACAGCAGGTCACAAAGGGTCACAGCAGGTCCAGAAGGTCACAGCAGGTCCAGAAGGTCACAGCAGGTCACAGAAGGTCACAGCAGGTCACAGAAGGTCACAGCAGGTCACAGAAGGTCACAGCAGGTCACAGAAGGTCACAGCAGGTCCAGAAGGTCACAGCAGGTCACAGAAGGTCACAGCAGGTCCAGAAGGTCACAGCAGGTCCAGAAGGTCACAGCAGGTCACAGAGGGTCACAGAAGGTCACAGCAGGTCACAGAGGGTCACAGCAGGTCCAGAAGGTCACAGCAGGTCACAGAAGGTCACAGCAGGTCCAGAAGGTCACAGCTGGTCCAGAAGGTCACAGCAGGTCACAGAAGGTCACAGCAGGTCACAGAAGGTCACAGCAGGTCACAGAAGGTCACAGCAGGTCACAGAGGGTCACAGCAGGTCCAGAAGGTCACAGCAGGTCGGACGGATGGACACACAGCAACATTTGCATTTGCATCTTAGCAGGACTGTGCTCACAACAGGTCTGGACTTTGACTAGGCCCTTCTAACATGACTCACTTTTGATCTAAAACATCCCATAATGTTTTAGCTTTTCTTAATATGGGGTGAATTTGTTGCTATAAAGCAGCATGCCAGGATGACCTCTGACCTTTGTCCCAGTTGAGGAACTCAACTGCTCCTCCAGAGGCAGCAGAGAGGTACTGCATGTCAGAGTGATTAATAACAATAATCAATAACATCCAAGATGGTTGCCATGGTAACGGCTTTAACTCCTGGATCGATTCTGGAGCCGCCGGTCCTCCAGAACACGCTCTCCTCCCAGAGTGTGTGTGTGTGTGTGTGTGTGTGAACACAGTCGCCCCCGCTGGGCCCTACTGAGCGGATCGTGGGTTTATTATCCAGGAACCAAAGAGCAGCAGATAATTCCTGCTCTGGTTTTAACCTCCAGCTAATTAATATTTTTTACTGTGCTTCTGCACATCTGCTCTGCTTTCTGGGGCCTAGTTAAAGGCCGGCTGAGACGTTTCTGGATGTCTTCTGTTGAATATTTGAAATATTTACCTGAAAAAGAGGAAAGTAAAACAGAATAAAACCCAAAAACCCAGAAGGTTGAACACAAACTGCAGTTATTAATTGGTGGCAGAGGAAACGAAGAGTATAAATATTTTGTTTATTTTATATTTTTAGTTTTGTATTATTAGTATTCTTAGTATTTTATTTACTGTAACTTTTCTGTTTTTTGTATTTATTTTATCTTTCAAATAATCAAAACTTACTTATTATTGAATCATTTTATCTTTTCAATATTTTATTACTTTTTAAATAACTTATTCAAACTTTGTTCAAATCAATTTTAATGTATTTATTCTTATTTATCTGTATTGTGTGATTTTAGGTTTGTTTTCTTGAAAAGGTTTGACTCTATAATGTTGACTTTAGCGCCCCCTGCAGGTGTTTCCTCCCTGTAATGTAATTATTTCTTCCTCAGGTCGACGGATCATCTGACCCTCTGATCAGAACCGGGCCTCGCTGACGGCCATGGCGGCCCGACTGCTCCCCCTCCTCCTCCCCCTCTTCCTGTTCGTCTCCATGGTGATGGAGACGCTCAGCTCCCGTCCGGACAGCGGATGAAGCCGCGCGTCCAGAGAGACAGACGCAACATCCGGCCGAACATCCTCATCCTGACGGACGACCAGGACGTGGAGCTCGGTGAGGGAATCATGGAAATGTAGTCCTCATGTCTGACTGAGGCAGATGAACGTTTTCAGTCTGAGCCACAGCCACCTGATCTGTGTTTAGTTTCGATTAGCATCACGACATCGTGATGCTAATCGACATCGTGATGCTAATCGACATCGTGATGCTAATCAACGTTGTGATGCTAATCATCGTGATGCTAATTGACGTTGTGATGCCAATTGACATAGTGATGCTAATTGACATAGTGATGCTAATCGACATCGTGATGCTAATCTACGTTGATGCTAATTGACGTTGTGATGCTAATTGACGTCGTGATGCTAATTGACGTTGTGATGCTAATTGACGTCGTGATGCTAATCGACCTCGTGATGCTAATTGACGTTGTGATGCTAACTGACGGCGTGATGCTAATCGACGTGATGCTAATCAACCTCGTGATGCTAATTGACCTCGTGATGCTAATCGACGTTGTGATGCTAATCGACTTCGTGATGCTAATTGACCTCGTGATGCTAATCGACGTTGTGATGCTAATCGACGTCGTGATGCTAATCGACGTCGTGATGCTAATCGACGTCATGATGCTAATCGACGTCGTGATGCTAATTGACGTGATGCTAATCGACGTCGTGATGCTAATCGACGTCGTGATGCTAATCGACGTGATGCTAATCAACGTCATGATGCTAATCGACAACGTTTCTCTTCTTGGTTCCTGGTGTCTTTCTTCTGATGCTCAGGATCCATGCAGGCCATGAACAAAACGCGCCGCATCATGGAGGAGGGCGGGACCTTCTTCTCCAACGCCTTCGTGACCACGCCCATGTGCTGCCCGTCGCGTTCGAGCATGCTCACTGGGAAGTAAGTCTCAGCCAATCACAGCAGGCGCAGGTTCTGATCCAAACCCAACTGAACTGGATCTCAGCTTAGAACATTAGAAGTATTATAATTAGGTGGGAGGAAATTTAAAAATTAATTTTGTTTTATAAATTAATTGCAAATTAAAATTTTCCCTCTTTAAAAAATAATTAGCAGATCCATTGGTCTCTTAGCGGCTTGATTTTTGTTGCCAGATTTATCTCAAACTTTAACTTGAATCAAGTCAGACTGACAAAGCTAGGCAGGAGAAGTGATGCTGCCCCCTGCAGGTGGGAGGTTGCAGCAACACTGTAAATTTAATGTTTTTGACTATTTTTTTGAAGAGTGGAAATATTTTATTTATTTTTTTTACTTCATTGTTTTAAAAAATGTCCCATTGAAGAAAATAAGCCAAACTTAAAAACCAAAATAGTATTTTTCCTCTTTTTTTAAAGCTGCTTTTGAGTTATAAAGAAGTGATTTCAGCTGGACTGGAGTCAAACTGTCCGTTAGTCTTGTAAAGGTCGCTGACCTCTGGTCCAGTTTGATCTGCTGCAACAGTTTTTACAACCGACCTGCTCATAAAAAGTCAGTCAAAACCAAATGGACCCGGGCCGCTGCGGTGAGAGTAAACTGCTGCTGGTTTTGCTTGAAATGACGACGTTTCTACAGGGTTTTATTCTCCAGCTGAACTCGTCCTGATTTATTGAAATGTTTTATTTTCTAACTTTAGCTTTTCTCTCTCAGGTACGTCCACAACCACAACACCTACACCAACAACGAGAACTGCTCGTCGTTGTCGTGGCAACGCCAGCACGAACCACGCACCTTCGGCGTCTACCTCAACAACACGGGATACCGAACAGGTGAGTGTCTGGCTCCGACAGACCGGTCCGGTCCGGTCCGGTCCGGTCTGGTCCGGACCTCTAATGTTCTAGCAGCAGAGCTAATAGCTTTGGTTAGCGCTCTTAGCTAACGCTAATTTACTTTAGTGTTTTATGAACGAATAAATTTCAACATCAGCTGTTAAATTTCTTCAGTTAGTTATACATTTATATTCATGCTCTTATTTTGAAGTTCTATTTCCTGTCCTCTCTTCCTCCTAGTTATTTGATTTACAATTAGAAATGTACACGAAACATGAAAACATTGTCGAACATATAAGTTATAATGAAATTAATTTCTTTGTCGAGGTCGTAAGCTAGCGCATTAGCACCGTAGCATTAGCTTCTGCTAAGGCCTGTTGATATGATGCTTTAACTAGGCTAATGTTGATGATTATTGCTTAGTTAGTTAGCATTCTCACTTCTGATGGTGGCTATCAACATGGTTCATGTTAGCACTTTAGCATTAGCTCCTGCTAAATACCATGATGGTTTAGCGTTTAGCATGAGAAAAGGGAACGCTTCTGATGAATAATTTAGTTAGCAGCTGATATGAAACATGTATTTGGTTCGTCATCAAGTTATTCAATAAAATCCTTTTGCCAATAAATGGAGTTAAACTCTAGGCGTCCAAAAGGCTCATTTGCTAGGATCAGGAAAGGGTGATGAGGAGAGCTGTTTCCCCGGAGATGAGGCGGGTTGGTTCCCGCAGCGCTCTGACTCTGTTGGTCGTCCCGGCAGCGTTCTTCGGGAAGTACCTGAACGAGTACAACGGGTCGTACGTTCCTGCGGGATGGAGGGAGTGGCTGGGCCTGGTGAAGAACAGCCGCTTCTACAACTACACACTGAGCCGCAACGGCGTCCGGAGAAACACGGCGCGCAGTACCCTCAGGTCAGAGCGCCGCCGCTTCCGGAGCTTCGCTTTCAGCCCCTCTGGGTTTTAGTCGGCCAAAGGTGGGTCCGTCCGGTTCGGTCCGGTGCAGATGCTCCTTCGGCTGCAACTACATGTAGATTCATAAAATTAGAACTTTTAGTGCCAGATTGAAGAGAAATACTGCTCAAGTTCTGGTTCCAACAGAACCTGGTCTACTGGACCATCAGGAGGGAACCAGCTTCTGATGGCTCTCTGGTCCAACAGACCCAGCTGGGTTCCAGCACTGAGGTCTGGTTCTGAGGATTCACTGATTCAGAAAGTTTTCTCTCTGTGTCTCCAGGACTACCTGACCGACCTGATCACAGCCGAGTCCATCCGCTATTTCCGCTCCTCGAAGCGGATCTACCCACACCGGCCGGTCCTGATGGTTCTGAGCCACGCCGCGCCGCACGGACCCGAAGACTCGGCGCCGCAGTACAGCAACGCCTTCGCCAACGCATCACAGCACATGTAGGCGCCTCACACTGTTCAACAAAACAAAACTTTATTAAGGTTCTGGAGGAGAAATATGCTCACACACACACACACACACACACACACACACACACACACACACACACAATGGCACTAAGCTGGTGTAATCCAGCTGAACAATGCAGCCGCTCTGTTCTGCACCGCAGGATAAATCCTCAACCTCACAATCCTGCAGACTCCCTGAGTTTCTTCATGGAGATTTGACAGTGAATCAAAGTCCAAGTCCTGAATCAGAAACACATGTCGGATCGTGTCGGATCCGTTCCCAGAGGAAGGCCGGCTGCTCCCGGGAAGCCGCTTAAATCCGTTTTTAGCGCAGCGGGTTTCTCTGCAGGAATCCTTTCTGCTCCACTCAGCGCTAGCGCCGCTAGCTGTCCAGGCTTTGGACCCAGATGAAGAGCAGCTGCAGTGTTTTATTTTGAAATAATGTGGATCAGGACTCAGGATGTAAATTTGAGGAACAAACAAGGTGGTTCTGAGTAAAAACCGGCCGATATCAGAAGCTATATCTGATCGTCCTGACCAGACGCTCATCCTGATGAAGCAGACTGCTCTTCATTACAAAGCTGATTCTGACCTTACAAAGTAAAGTTTACTCAATTTGCATCTTTTAAAGCAAAACACCATGAAAGGCACAAAAATAAAATGTATTCAATTAACCCAGTGGGCTTTACTGAAGCTCTACACATTTATCAGAAGCTAACGCTACAGTGACATGGTATTTAGCTGAAGCTAATGCTAAATCAATACATCATCTTAATGGAAGCTAATGCTAAAGCGCCTTGTTCATATCAATTATTTCTTCTCATTGAGAGATTATAAACCTCAAGCACCAAATAATTTGAAAATATAATTTACTGATTTTATAAAGCAGCAGGACAATAGCAGGATAATAGCTGCTAACATCCTGCTAATGCAGGATGTTAGCAGGACGTCCTGCTAATGCAGGATGTTAGCAGGACGTTATGCAGGATGTTAGCAGGACGATAGCAGCAGGGCGTTAGCAGGACATTAGCAGGACGATAGCAGCAGGGCGTTAGCAGGACGATAGCAGCAGGATATTAGCAGGATGTTAGCAGGACGATAGCAGCAGGATGTTAGCAGGACGATAGCAGCTGGCGTTAGCAGGACATTAGCAGGACGATAGCAGCAGGACGTTAGCAGGACGATAGCAGGACGATAGCAGCAGGGTGTTAGCAGGATGTTAGCAGGACGATAGCAGCAGGGTGTTAGCAGGATGTTAGCAGCAGGATGTTAGCAGGACGATAGCAGCAGGGCGTTAGCAGGACATTAGCAGGACGATAGCAGCAGGGCGTTAGCAGGACGATAGCAGCAGGGTGTTAGCAGGATGTTAGCAGCAGGATGTTAGCAGGACGATAGCAGCAGGGCGTTAGCAGGACGTTAGCAGGATGTTAGCAGGACGACAGCAGCAGGGTGTTAGCAGGATGTTAGCAGCAGGATGTTAGCAGGGCGATAGCAGCAGGGCGTTAGCAGGATGTTAGCAGGACGACAGCAGCAGGGTGTTAGCAGGACGTTAGCAGGATGTTAGCAGGACGATAGCAGCAGGGCGTTAGCAGGATGCTAGCAGGATGTTAGCAGCAGGAAAGTCATTTGGGTCCCAAACGCACCTGGAGCAGGTCTGCTGGACCAGAACCGTTTAAAGCCGCAGGTTCTGCTGCTCCTGTCAGCTGTTTCAGGAAGCCAACAGATGTTTCCAGTTGTTCAGGCAGGAGCAGCCGAGCTCAGAGCCAGAAATGAAACGATGCCACAGAGGAGCGACGGGAGTCATTCATTATCCAACAGGAGCCTGTGTTTTTAATGAGTCCCCTGAACACGGCGGTAAAGAGCGAAAGTCCTTCCTAACATTTATTATGAAACAGAAACACTTTAACTCGACATCATTTGAAATGCTCGGCTCACTTTACTGCAGGTTGTTTCAACCATTTTGCAGCCTGGAAAAGTTTACATGCCATGCATCATCTGAAATATTCATAAACAACAGAGACGGTCCTTGTTTCACTCCAGAGAATAAAACACATTTTAGTTTCTGTTTACTGGAAAACCAAAACACTGATAGATCAGATCACTGTCTTCTTCTTCTTCTTCTTCTTTTCCTTCTTCTTCAACTTCCTGCTGCTGCTGGTTTGTAAAGGAAAAACCTCCAGGTGACTGAAGCCGATTAGCTTCATGAAACTGTTGGTTTTTTAGACGTAATGATGTAACAATGATGAAAGAGTAATCGTCAGCTACTTCTGACTTTTACTTGATTAAAATATGCTACAGTGGTTCTGTTATGATCAGGGAACAGTTTTTGGGTCGCAGCATGTCATCCATCACATGACCTTAAAATAGCTGCGTTTTTATTGGCTGATGGGCCAAAAAAATCCAGATTGTTTCTAATCACAGATTCCTCTCCTTTTCCACCAGTACTCCCAGTTACAACTACGCCCCAAACCCAGACAAGCACTGGATCATGCGCTACACGGGCCCCATGAAGCCCATCCACATGGAGTTCACCAACGTGCTGCAGAGGAAGCGGCTGCAGACGCTGCTGTCTGTGGACGACAGCATGGAGCAGGTGAGAACCGGAGCGGAGCGGGCAAAACCCGGAGCGGAGCGGGCAAAACCCGGACCGGGGCGGGTAAAACCCGAACCAGAACGGGCAAAACCCGGACCGGGGCGGGTAAAACCCGTAGCTGGACCGGGGCGGGTAAAACCCGGACCGGGGCGGGCAAAACCCGTAGCTGGACCGGGGCGGGTAAAACCCGGACCGGGCGGGTAAAACCCAGACCGGGGCGGGTAAAACCCGGACCGGGGCGGGCAAAACCCTGACCGGGGCGGGCAAAACCCGTAGCTGGACCGGGCGGGTAAAACCCGGAGCCTTACCGGAACGTGTAAAACCCGGAGCCGGACCGGGGCGGGCAAAACCCGGACGGGGCGGGTAAAACCCGGAGCGGACCGGGGTGGGCAAAACCCGGAGCCGAACCGGAACGGGTAAAACCTGGCTGCGTTTCTGATCCAAACTGTTTGATTCTGTCTCAGCTCTTCAACATGCTGGTGGAGACGGCAGAGCTGGAGAACACCTACATCATCTACACGTCTGACCATGGCTACCACATCGGGCAGTTCGGCCTAGTTAAAGGTGAGGGAGCCATTCAGCCAATCATGTTTTAATAGAAACTGTCATCCAAACATTCATGTGACCCTGTCATTTTCATTTGTATTATTTAATTTATACCAATAATCAGTTTTATTAGATCAGTGTCGCACATCTGGACTTTGCAATTTTAAAATGTTTTAGCTTATTTTAGCCTAATTTTGTTCAGTTTAGAATAGTTTATCTTAACCTGTGATACATTTTTTCAGTTCAGTTAATTGTATCTTATTTTAGTTTGTTTAACTTTGCTTTACGACCAGATGTTAGCTTACTTTATTTTATTTTAGCTTAGTTAGCTTAGCTTGGTTAGTTTAGCTAGCTGAAGTGTTTTTGCTCATCTTATTTTACCTCACCTTATGTTACTAAGCTTAGCTTAGTTTATGTTAGCTTTCTTACCTTTCTTTATTTTGACTTAGCTTGCCTTAGCACAATTAGCTTACTTTACTTTAGCTTCCTCAGTTACTTACCACAGATAGACCTGTAGATCAAATCAAGTTAAAAGTGACGACTGAAGTTCAGTGGAAAGAAATGAAACATTAGCATTGAATCTGCATTAACCAGAAACCTGAAGGTTTAGCACAAAGCTAACCGTTGACCTCTGCCCCCTGCTGTGTGTAACGCTCTCGGCTGTTGTCTGCAGGTAAATCCATGCCGTATGAGTTTGACATCAGAGTCCCGTTTTACATCAGAGGACCGAATGTGGAGCAAGGCGGCATGTAAGCTCAAACAGCAGGAACTCATCCGCTCACTCACACTTCCACACAGATCAGTTCAGGTGTTTAAAGTGGAAATCAGGGAAGAGTTTTCCCCAGCATCAGTTCGCTCATCTGGAAGAACTTTAAAGCTCTTGTGTTAGAAATGTGCATCCAACAAACGGTAAAACAGATCAGTGTGACAGCAGAATGCATCACAGCGCAGCAGATTAGATTCCTGTGTTCTGCAGAGCTGCTAAAGTCGATTACTGGCCTCAGAGCTGCAGACTTACCGGGTTGCGCTTTCCGTGCTCTGCTCCTGTTTCTGCTCTCTTCTGTTCACATGAATTATTTACTTCCAATTTCAACAGAACCGCATCCACACACATTCACTCCTCCTGATGCTGCAGTCTGAGCTTTTCCAGTTCCACTTTTTAAAAGTTTAAAGCCTAAAACAGAAGGAGGCTAACAGCTCCGAGGCTAACAGCTCCGAGGCTAACGGCTCTGAGGCTAACGGCTCTGAGGCTAATGGCTCTGAGGCTAACGGCTCTGAGGCTAACGGCTCTGAGGCTAACAGCTCTGAGGCTATTGGGTCTGAGGCTAATGGCTCTGAGGCTAACGGCTCTGAGGCTAACGGCTCTGAGGCTAACAGCTCTGAGGCTAATGGCTCTGAGGCTAACGGCTCTGAGGCTAACAGCTCTGAGGCTATTGGGTCTGAGGCTAACGGCTCTGAGGCTAACAGCTCTGAGGCTATTGGGTCTGAGGCTAATGGATCTGAGGCTAACGGGTCTGAGGCTAATGGCTCCGAGGCTAACGGCTCTGAGGCTAACAGCTCTGAGGCTAACACAATAACATCCTTTTGGGGCGGAGACTTTCACACTGTGTGTGTTTCAGAAACCCCCACATGGTCCTGAACATCGACCTGGCTCCCACATCCTGGACATCGCAGGCCTGGACACGCCGCCGGACATGGACGGGAAGTCCATCCTGTCCCTGTTGGACACGGACAAACCCGCCAACAGGTGAGATGATGTAAACAAAACGGTCGTCTCAGTTTGACTTATCGCACCGAAACTGATGCTGATTCACATGGTTCCAAAACCAATCAACAGCCTTTAAATGATCAATCAACAGCCTTTAAATGATCAATCAAGCCTTTAAATGATCAATCAACAGCCTTTAAATGATCAACCCTGAGATCAGCAGGATGATATTAATAATATTGACCTGTAGCATATTTACTATCGTTACAACTCCACAGAACCCCATTTCAGCAAATTTGAACTGTCCCTTGTTACATGTTAACAATGTTTATCACATGTTGTCCATGTGATAAACTCAACTCGGGGTCTGTGCTGCTTTTTTGTAAGTAAAGTAAAGTAAGGTGAAAACCGCTCTAGAGCACCCCCTGGTGGATATTTTGTTATATTGTTTAGTGACGTCGAATCATAAGGAGAATATCCAAGATGGTGGAACGCAGCACCGAGCGGTTCATAGTTACGCTGTTTGCTATTCTTGTACGTTGTGTGTCGGACAAGATTTGTTCGTAAGTATCTGTTAATTGCCTTTTGTTTTATGTAACTTTAATGTAAATGTTTTATTTTAGCTCGTAACAAAAGTTAGTTCGGTTGCTAATACGCAGTTTTGTATGTTTCAGTTTACGATGGCTAAAGTGATGGCAGTGGTCAGAGGCCACTCTTCAATAAACCGCTAAAAAGGAAAGAAGTTTGGTTATTGGAGCGTCGTTGTCTAGCTGTCTAGCTGCTGAAGAAATTGAGAACTCAGGGCGAGGACAGCATAGGGTCATAATTATAAATACTCTGAAGTTTAAATAAATCCAGTCATCAACCTGATCAGATGCATTGATTACCTGATCGGTTGTTGCTGTTTCCAGGTGTGAGTCGGCAGCAATGATTTTACAGAAGCAACTGTAGCCGAATGCTAGTCAGTTTTGTTTTGTCATTTGTGAGTTGAGGTAATTTAGGAATATTTGCCAGAAATGTAGTGATTTTTCTTATTAAAAGTAAATCTTCATGTATAAGAGAAAAGATGAAAATAAGAAGCAAAAAAACTGGACACAAATATTTTTTCACCACATCAAACTTAAACTTCAGGTAGAAGCTGGAAACACTGCCACCTGTAGGTGGGAGTCAGCATCACTTAAACCCAACAGGGTTTTTTTTTGCCAGTTGTGCAGAAAATTTGCAATACATTCACAATGAAGCATAAACAAACATCTGGGATGTGTTCCTCATAAAACGAGCGATTGCTGGCAGATTCTGGAGCTCAGGTTGGATATGAATGGAGAGCCAGGAGCACCACAGGAAGTAACGCTGCCTTCCTTTCCTCCAGGTTCCAGGTGAGCAGGAAGCCGAAGGTGTGGAGAGACTCCTTTCTGGTGGAGAGAGGGTAAATATGTCTGCATCTTCAACCCGGTTTAATGATCCGGGTTCTGGTTCTGGACCGAGAATGAGACGGACCAGGTCCGAGACGCTTCCAGAATCAATCAGTTTCCCATCTGATCAGATTTATCAGTTTCTCCTCCTGAAATGAAGTTCGAGGAGCAAGGCTCTGTGTCACGTCATATTTACTCCCCAGGAAACAAATAAAAGTTCCAGCAATCTGAAGAATGGAAGATAGTATTCAGGAATTATTACTGGAACCAGAACTTGTTCAGTCCAAAAATCAGATTCAACACACTTAGATATTTTCCTGCAATGAACCCGAATTGCAATAAGAAGCTAATTGTTTTGCTGTTTTGACAGGAAGTTGCTGCACCAGCAGGCAGAGGGGAAGGAGGTTTCTCAGGAGGAGAACTTCCTGCCCAAACACCAGCGAGTCAAAGACCTGTGTCAGAGAGCCGAGTACCAGACGCCCTGCCAGCAGACTGGACAGGTAGCAGACACACACCGGGTTCTTCTGCTGGTCCGGTTACCTCACAGGGTCGCATCCCGCCTGGTTCTTCTGGCTCCCTCCAACGTTTTCAGTCCCTTTAGGCTGAATCAGTAGCTCCAGTCCGTTCGCCCAGTCAGAGTCTAGTCCGGTTGGGAGTGCGAACGCTAACTGAACTCTGGTCCTCCAGAACTCGGTCTGGGTTCGGCTGAACTCTGGTTCGGTGTGAATGTGAAGGCCAAGCGGATCGGGAACGACCGGCTGCCGGTCATTCATGGAGCCGCTGCAGAACCGGTTGGTTCCGGTTCTGAACGGATCCCTGAGTGGCTCCGGGTTTTACTGTCGTGTCTCTGTGTGTCCAGAAGTGGCAGTGTGTGGAGGACGCCTCCGGAAAACTGCGGCTCTTCAAGTGCAAGAATGAAGGGGGCGGGGCCACGAGCTTCCAGAGAGGCGGGGCCAGCCTCCAGCGTCCAATCAGCATCAAGTCTCAGCTGTACGCTCCCGACCCGGACGCCTGCAGCTGCGACTTCAGCGACCTCCTGCCCGCAAGCCTCCGGCCCTCCGTGACGAGGTCGTTCAAGAACAAGCCCTTCTTCTCCAAGAAGAGTGAGTGTTACTGCCGCTGGGCAGCAGGGGGCAGCGTGAGGGACTGCAGCTGAACTCAGGCAGTTCTCTTCTTCTGTCTCAGAGCTTAAAACCCTGAAAAGTTTCTCAAGGAACCGCTACAGCCGCTCGCTGTCCGAGCTGAACGCTTACCCTGGCAACCAGACCCTGGTGGGCGGAGCCAGTCAGAATGAACCCGAGGACGAGTTCAGCGGGATGGGAGCCGTCACCGACGCGCCGGCGCCATCTAGTGCCGTCAGAGTGACTCACAGGTCAGAGAAGCTTTACTTTTCAAATCCACCTGGTTTCTGATTCTGGTTCTGGTCTGACCGGGCCGTCTGCTGCAGGTGCTCCATCCTGTCCAACGCCTCGGTGAAATGCGACACCAGAGTTTATAAATCTCTGCAGGCCTGGAAGGACCACAAGCTGCACATCGACCACGAGGTACGGCCTAGTCAAAGGATTCTCTCAGGTCTTCCCATCTGGAGTGACAGGATGTCAGGCTGCAGCAGTACTTCCTGTTTGAATCGGACTCTGATATCCTGGTTCTGTTTGGTTCCGACTGGAGGAACCGACCCAAACAGACGGGATCAGATCCAGAACAGCAGAAATAAAACGTCTTCTGTCTTCAGATCGAGACTCTGCAGACCAAGATCAAGAACCTGAGAGAGGTCAGAGGTCACCTGAAGAAAGCCCGCCCCCTGGAGTGCGACTGCAACAAGTACCTGTAAGCTAACGACCAGAACCCGACCAATCAGTGGCTTCATCCAACCGTCGTCCATCCATCCAGGCATCCACTATTCATCCATCATCCATCTCCTTCTATTCTGTGTCTCATCCTGTTTTATATTGAAATATAATTCTAGAATTTCTTCTCTTTCTTGTTAAATTGGACCAACTGAGCTAACAGCTGACTTTGTGTTTGCAGGTACAAAACCAAACTGAGGAAGAAGCTTCGCTTCAGAGGAGGAGGCCTTCATCCCTTCAGGTGAGTCAGAAAGGTCGCAGTGGGGTCGTCCTCATCACCAGTGTGGTCACCTGGCAACACCTGTGTGTGTGTGTGTGTGTGTGTGTGTGTGACAGCAGGAAGGGGGGCCTGGAATAAGAAGATCTGGCTTCAGAAGGAGCAGAAGAGGAGGAAGAAGATGAGGAAGATGATCAAGAGGATCAGGAACAACGACACGTGTTCGATGCCCGGACTCACCTGCTTCACACACGACAACCAGCACTGGCACACCGCACCCCTGGACATGTACGGCACACACACACACACACACACCGCCAAAGTGGTTCCTGCTTCAGAGGTTAGAGGTCATCCTTAGGGATGAAAGGTTATGTGTGATGACTGGGTGTGTTCCAGTGGGACCGTTCTGCGCCTGCACCAGCGCCAACAACAACACCTACTGGTGCCTGAGGACCATCAACGAGACGCACAACTTCCTGTTCTGTGAGTTCGCCACCGGATTCCTGGAGTACTTGACCTGAGCACCGACCCGTACCAGGTACACACACACATACACCGACCCGTACCAGGTACACACACACACACACACCGACCCGTACCAGTAACACACACACATACACCGACCCGTACCAGGTACACACACACATACACCGACCCGTACCAGGTACACACACATACACCGACCCGTACCAGGTACACACACACACACACACCGACCCGTACCAGGTACACACACACCGACCCGTACCAGGTACACACACATACACCGACCCGTACCAGGTACACACACACACACCGACCCGTACCAGGTACACACACACACACACACCGACCCGTACCAGGTACACACACACCGACCCGTACCAGGTACACACACATACACCGACCCGTACCAGGTACACACACACACACACCGACCCGTACCAGGTACACACACACACACACCGACCCGTACCAGGTACACACACACACACACCGACCCGTACCAGGTACACACACACCGACCCGTACCAGGTACACACACACGTACCAGGTACACACACACACCGACCCGTACCAGGTACACACACACACACCGACCCGTACCAGGTACACACACACACACCGACCCGTACCAGGTACACACACACACGTACCAGGTACACACACACACACACACGTACCAGGTACACACACACAGACCCGTACCAGGTACACACACACACACACCGACCCGTACCAGGTACACACCACACACACCGACCCGTACCAGGTACACACACACACACACCGACCCGTACCAGGTACACACACACACGTACCAGGTACACACACACACACACACCGACCCGTACCAGGTACACACACACACACACCGACCCGTACCAGGTACACACACACACAGACCCGTACCAGGTACACACACACACCAACCCGTACCAGGTACACACACACACCAACCCGTACCAGGTACACACACACACGTACCAGGTACACACACACCAACCCGTACCAGGTACACACACACACAGACCCGTACCAGGTACACACACACATGTACCAGGTACACACACACACACACAGACACGTACCAGGTACACACACACACACACAGACCCGTACCAGGTACACACACACCTGTACCAGGTACACACACACACGTACCAGGTACACACACACACACAGACCCGAACATGAGTAAATAAAGTATTTTGTTTTATTTCCTGTTTAGAATATTTACTGGAAATGTTCTTTAATGTGTTTAATTCTGACTTTCATCTGATGTTTGAATCAGACATTAAAACCTAAATCCCTCCTGGATTTTCCAAACTTTCGGTTTCTGATGAGTTTTGAAAACGACTGAATATGAATCTGTTTTGAAAACCGTCCTCAGCTGCTGGAGCTCAGAGATTTCGTCTCTGTTGAGATGCCGCCCAGATTCTGAATCCCTGTTGTTTCCGTCTTTCTGCGTACAGCTGATAAACGCCGTCAGCTCGTTGGACCGGACGGTTCTGAACCAGCTGCACGTCCAGCTGATGGAGCTCAGAGGCTGCAAGGGTCACAAGCAGTGCAATCCTCGCACGCGCTCAGTAGAGCTGGGTAGGACGGACACACACATGCGCACACACTATGACTCTCGCCATCAAACCCGGATCTAAAACACACATCGCCGTATTTCAGTTATGTCATCAGACTAAAACTAAAACTGTAAAAGTGGGACACAGACATGATAGTGGGCCGAGCACACAGCCCTGAGGAACGCCGCTGCTCATTCTGAGGGTCGTCATATGTTCATCAGCAACATGGTGATGCTGTTCAAGCTGCAAAATAACTACCGGCTCTGAACTCACTGGTTTCACTGGTTTCACTGGTTTCACTGGAAGTGAGCTTTAAATTAAATCTTCAACCACATAACATGTTTAATGACGGTGATTCACTGAATCGGTCAGTAAAGCAGGAAATGAGGATATTTTGCTCCAGCCGACATGAACACAGAGATGGTCAATAAATATAATATTTATGTTAAAGGAGATAAATTTCACCAAAATAATCTCAGCTTATGGTTCCTTCGTCTCGGCTGGTGGTGCGTTCAGGTGACCTCTGTTCACACCAGCAATCAGGTTGTTTGTTTCCAGGAGTCGTTGCTTACTAACCAATCAGATGATCTTTTCAGCAGGAGGGCGGGCTCATGGCGGCTTTGGTGACTACAGGTACACACACACCGACACACACACACTGACACACACACACACTCTGAGTGACTTCCTGCCGCGCTCTGAGGGATGGCGGTGCAGACGGTGTGTTTGGCTGAGTGTGTAACTGTGTGTTTGTTGCATCAGGCTGTTTGAAAGAAGGAAGTGGCCGAAAGTGAAGAAGCCTTCATCATCCCGAACGCTGTGAGTCTTCCTCCATGTTCTCCGTTATGATTGGCCTGCATGGGGCAACTTCCTGCAGGACGCCTCCGTCCTGTCTGC